AAGAAATGTTTCTTTCACAAGAAATGTATAAAATTAGTGCTGTATTAGACTTACGGTACCTAATTTACATACTGTACAGATGATAATAAACTGAACTTACTAGCCTAAAATCTCCGTAGCGTGTTGCCAGGTGGCAGAAAGCATATATTTAATTATAATAAAGTTACAATAAATTAAGTTAATATATAATTATATGTACAGTACCTAATTTATATATAATTAATATATAATTATATGTACAGTACGTATAATATATATTATATTTTGAATTATAATATGGTGCATTATTGTAGCTACATTAATAAATGATAATCAGGTAAAAACTTTTATTTGTGAAGCATAGACTTTGCAATGCTGGGAGTTGATGGTACCTAATTTATTTGTCATGTGCTACCAATTTACTTATTTAGTTTTGTATATTATCCCTCATTGTAAATAAATATTCAAGATTTAAGTACTTCTCATAATGTATAGCAAAATAGTTCACTAATAACTGATTCAAGTTATAATATAACAACTATTATTTAAGAAATAATTGCTCTGAGTGTTAGAATGCATCATTTTCTTACAGAAAAAATGTTGTCAAGAGCTTTTACATGACTCCTGCCATACTAACAGGAAGTTAAGGTGAATGAGAAGGAAGTTAGTTAATTTTCAATTTTATTACAATATAAAATTTAAATAATACAAAAGCTTAAAAAGAATAATTTTGTTAAATTATGATAAATTCCTATATTTTTCAAACAAATACTTTTTCTTCAAATAACGTATGATGCCATATACAATGAGATTTTATTAAAAATCATTTTATATTTAATTTCATTTTATAATTAATTATTAGAAAATGTCAAATGCCTTATTTTGGGATAGATGTGAATTTTTTTAAAAATTTTAAATATCAATAATCAGTAAAATTTTCATTAAGTCGGACCTTACGAGATAATGTCACATGACCCACTCCATCTCAACTTATAATTTCCAAAATTGATGTCTCATGTACAAAAATAATCCTACCAAGTTCCAATATTTATGGTTCATCCAGTTCTTAGACATAATGTAAAATACATTTCAACACATTTTGTAGGAGGCTTTTGGGTTATTTTATATTTTTGGACTCCTGGAGTGTCAAAATGTTGAGAAATGCAAAGGTGAGAAAAATTTTGACTGATCACCATACTTTTTCTATGTTATATTCTATAACAGCCAGGAAAGTAATATAACATTCTGAAATTTTCTCCAATACTGTCTAAATCTTATCTAGAAATCAAATAAATGCTTTTCATAAGTTCATAACTAATAACCAACTATCAAAAATATATTTATTTTTCATTTGAACTTATAAAGTATATAATTATATTTTTTTATCTTTTTAAAAGATTCACATATAAACTATCCATTACTATCCAAACTATCCTTACTCACATATAAACTATCCATTAATGTCAACAATGTTGCAAGTACTCTCCTTTCGACTTGTTGATAAGAATCTTGATATTTTGGGCAAAGAACATCAAATTCATCAATAAATATAATACTTGGTGCTCTGAAAATTAAATGCAATAGTAATTGTAACATATTATAGTTTACAGAAATTAAAATAAATGGTTTATGTTGATTATTTACTTTTGATTCTTATTATTTTAATAAATAATTAGTTTATGTAATACACTTGATATATATTTGTAAACTAGCATTTATAAAGACAAAATTTGTTTAAATAATATAAAGCATTTACATTCCAACATCTTGGAATGTAAATGTAAAAATGCTGGATTGTTTTTTTTTATTCCAAGACTTCTTTATTTCATACATTATTTTTAAAGGATCAAACCAGAATTTAAAAGAAAGATAAAAATAATTTGGTAATTAAAACAATTCAAAAAATATAATTTTTTTAAAAATAAGTATAATTTAATTAACATTAGTTGTAAAANAACAGAGAATAAACTGCCCAAATACCCTTAAACAAAGGAAAAGTACATCCTTTATGAAGGCATAGAGCCTTTACTACATGAAAATGAAAATTAATGAATACACTGTGTACAGTAATTTACCTGATAAGACAGACCTCAGAAAAATACTTTATGAGATCTTTTATACTTTTATAAAGCTGTCTATAATGTTTTTGCCCTGCCAGGGTGTGGCCGAGTTATCCAGAGTGCCGGGTTCTACTGTACTTATAAAACTGTCAGCATATTCTAATTTACCAATGATTTTATGTAATGAAAGCAATATTTCAATTTTACCATTAAAGTTTTTATGAAAGAATAAAAAGTCTTTATTGCAAATTATAATATAAAATAATCTATTAATCATATTATTAGGCTGTAATATTATATGGGTTCTGAGTGATATTTTTAGTACATAAGATATGTTAAAATTAATATTAATCTTGCACACTCTTACCTTATTTTAGCTTCAGAAAAGATCTCTCTCAGCTTGGCTTCACTAAACATATATTCAGACAAGTAAATAATAGCAACATAAATATCAACAGATATAATAAATAAATTCTAACTTTTCTAATAAAACTCAAACTCTGCTTTCTTGGAGCCTACAAATTTAAATTAAGTTACTGTTTCTCTATCAACATTGTGCAATCATCAATATTAAAGCCAGATGACAGCAAATAGAAGCTTATGCATAACAGCACAATGTAATAAGTTCTCGTGAAGAATTCTACGGAAAGAGTACTTAATTTAAATTTGAGATCCAATACAGCAGAATTTGGGTCATCAATTAACAAGATAAAAATATCAAAAATATATATAAAATTTACTAAAACTAAAATAAACTAAGAACATGTATAAATATATATTATAGTTTGTTTGTGTATGGGGAAAGTAATATTCTATCTGAATAAACTTTACTGTAATAAAGAATAATGGCATGCTTGATATTATTATTTCAACAATTTTGGATAATCAATGCAGCCAACTTGAAAAAATGCTCTTGAAAACTGGCCTAAAACTTGAAAAATTTTAATGCCATTTTCTTGAGAATAAATGAATAGCGGGTCACACTGGTGAATGTTCACATTCAGAAAGATCAAAAATAGTAGTTAAAACAGTTTCTAAAGTTAAGTTTTCAATAACATTTGCCTTTTTTTCCTCTCCTTAAATAATTTTAGCTCTTATATACATATACACTCATC